TAACATTTATATTCAAGAATATTCCATATATTTAGAATATAATTCCATATATTTAGAATATAATTTATAAAAAAAGAATATTTGTTAGTACATTTTGTTTTTATATTTAAAAAATGTGCTTTTATCTTTCTTTGCAGAGATATGTATGGTATGGTGTCAGAAATCAGAATTGCTATGTTACACTGAATTTGAGCGAACATTTAATTTATTAAATCATATTAAAATAAAAATTGTTATTTAATTTTGAGTTCTTACAAACATATTACAACTTTATTCTATTGTAATTAATACTAATGGTATATTAATAGAATAGCAGAAATAAAGTCCTAATCAATTTAACATAAAACTTTGTTGGATGGAATTCTTGATTGGAAGAAACTAACTTAATTTTACAATTTATGATTAAAATTTTATAATGTTTAATGATATACACACAGAAATGTTCTCTTTATTAATAAAATAATTGATTAAAATACAAAAAATATCTTTAAAAAGTATTTTATAATGATACTCATTAATTTTCTGATTATTTATTTTGAAATATTTAAGTATCAACTGTTTGAATGATATTTGAGTGGCTTTGTAAATTAAAACTTTTAATTGTTTTTACTAATAATTTTGATATTTAATTTTTATATATCTAATACAATTTTTATATAAAATGAATATTTAAAATATAAAAGTGCTACAATGAATTGCATTTAACAATAACATTAATTTTATACTTATTTTCTACATTGTACTTTATGTTATACTATTATTAAAATAATTAAAATTTATTCAAATAAACTGCTACATTTTTAAAAACTTTATATGTTATATGCTTTAAAAAGACAAAGAATAAAATAAATGTGAAAAAAATTACGCACGTCCTTAATCCATGATGTTCGTGAATACGTATGACATACAAGTCTTGCATTATGATGCAAAAAAAAGTAAAGTGAGTGCTCGAGGTCAAGGATTGATTTTACATATTGCATATATGTGTAATATTCCATACTACGTCGTGCTATATCAATTAGGATTTCTAATGAGACATTGTTTTGTCACGACAGTAAACAAAATTAAATTTGAGATTGCATTAGTGCCTATACGCCGAATATATTACGTTATGTGTACATATCATCCATGTTTATTCACGTTTATCTCATAGATAGACTCTCGAAGAAATTCTTGCAATCGCGATTAGTAGAATAATAGCGTTTTTTGTTTATTTTTGCTGCATTCATATGAAAACTGTCATCCGACAAGATTAAAGAAGATAAGCTTTACACATTTGTAATATTACATATGAATCATTACTTATAATTCTTTGAAATAAATTAATTAAAATCATATTGGGAATTAACGCATTATTTGTAGCGTTCTATAAGTTTACTATAATTTTTTGATAATGATTATTGCCTTTTTCTATATATTTTTTAATAGTAGCGTGTAAAAAATAATAACGGAAATCTTATCAATTTCCCTATTACTCTTCAAATAATAAAAATCCTGAGAAAATAAGGCAGAGAGTATAACGCAGTTGTTAGAGCGTGATCAGAAAATAGTGTTAATCAGTGCAGATCTTGAGCGTGTATTTTCATAAAGACGAACGTTTCGACTCTTTTTAGAGTCATCATCAGCGTTAATACAGTTCTTAGAACATATGCAACATCACTCATGCATCAAATAAGGTGCATGAATTTCATTGCAATTATACTGATCTTTCAATTTTATAGTGGCTGCTATTGATGCATGAGTGATGTAGTGATATGTTCTAAGAATTAAGTAGCATATTGTTTGTTTTTATGGAAATACATGTTACAAAGATCTGCACTGATTAATATTATTTTATGATCACGCTCCAACAACTGCGTTATATTCTCATCTGCTCGTTTTCTTAGAATTTTTTTTTTAATAATAGTTGTTACATTTTTACAGTAACAATAACGAATTCAGAACTGTTAGTTCTTTATCTTTATAACTGTTTAATGAATCATATTGTTTCTATTTAATAGAAATATTCTATTTAAATAGAAATTTAAATATTACAAAATATATTTTATATTTTATATAATTTATATCTTAGGCTGCACATTGAAATACTGCTATTAATAGAAAGTCTGTCATATATGTATATGATATGTAAGATGAACTATAGATTTTTAATACTTGTAATGTGCGTGCGTGCGTGCGTGCGTGTGTGTGCGTGTGTGCGTGTGTGTGTGTGTGTGTGTGTGTGTGTGTGTGTGTGTGTGTGTGTGTGTGTGTGTGTGTGTGTGAATATTAGGATGAACTTTTAATGATTAATAAGAATTTTTGATAAAATGTGTTTTTGTTACAATCTAAATTACAATCTAAATTCCAATAAACGATAAGTATGTTAAAAATAAAGATATTATTTAATATAAAGAATTAGAAAATATATTAGATAAGTTTAACTTTTTAAAGCATGGTATATTTTTCACACCTTTTATAATTACAAAGTTGTTTCTTTCATTTCAATTTTTTTTTTGCAACTTTAAACCTAGTAGGTATATTTTGAATTGCCGAATCTCTGAAGTAAAAATTACAATATTCACAACATTTTACTTAATATAGCAACTCAAAGTACGAAAAATTTTTGTTTTATGTAAAATACACTAATGCATTACTATAAAAAAATTTCACATAGGACATATTAAAACTTGATATTAAGAAATTGTTGAGATTGCGAATACAAAGTCAAAATTTACAAATTTTTTAAATATAATATGACTGACCAAAATCATAAAGTTAATAATTTTATACTAAATTTGATTTTCAGCGTATTTTTGGATAATTTTAAACAAAGTAAAAATGTAAAGATTTTAAATAGCTGATTTAATAAGCGAAACAACATTGCAAGAAATAGACCGATTTTATGAAAGTCGATACTAGTTTTTGGAATTGCCGATTTAAATCTGAAGTCAAAAATTATCAAATTCAAACTCATGAACTTGCTTTTGTTTTATACAAATTAGTAAATTTTTTGGCATATATTGAATCTGCCATATTAGATCTGTTAGTTTTCTATTTTTATTTTACATTAGTTATGCTAAAAAACGATCGAATATTTAGTTTTAAATAACTAGATCAATTTTTGTATCTTTGATGTATTATGTTAACTTTGTCACTCTGAATTAAAAAATTTTTTTAATCTCTTTCTAACTTTTATATTCGTAAAAAAATAAACAACTTCAAAAATCCTTTATATATCATTTTAAAGAATTACTGTATGAAAGAAAAAATTCTATTGTTTATAAAAATTTTCTATTGTTTATAAAAAAAAAATAAAGAAATATTTCAAAATATTAATATAGGTGCATTCTGTCTTCTTAATCACATGCTGTAAGAGCATCAATTCAGCCTTGTCTATCAAAACAAGAGTTCATTAAACAAGAACAAACGATGATGCTCACAAACGGTAAACACAATACGGAACATATTCTCCATAAAAAAAAGTTTGTCATATAGATAGCATAGTTCAGAATTTTAATATTAATTATTAAATAATGTAATTTAAAAAATTTATTATTTCACTTAAACTTACAAAATATAATAAATCGTTATCTAATAAGTAACAGTAATGCGTTATTTTCATAAAGTAATTCAATCCTTTAAATAATTCAATCATTCATTGTATTGTCATATATATGTCATTCCTTATATCAATCTCTACTTGAAAAAATAAATGAAAATCTGTTTTTTATCAGAAGACA